TTGAGATCTGTTAACATGGTTCAAATTACTAGTAAAGAACATCATGAATATTAAGTCTATTCAAGGATTACCCGGATTAGAGCCAGTTTGGAGAGAACGCCATGGCGAAGGGGGTCGTCATCTGCTGCAACTGCGGATCGAATCCTGCCTTGGGCATTACCCCACGTTACGGGGGACCGATCTGGATCTCTGAGCCGTTACCATGCTACTGGATGCTGCTAATAAAGGCTCTAAAACTTGAGTGTGAGTCAATACTGCCTGAGGGATGCGCACCGCATTCGACTCCCATTCAGAATCGTAGTGGCATATTGAATGCGTATGTGGCCCATACAATAACTTCCAGTGAGCAGCCGATGAGCAAGTCAGTGTTTTCAACCTTCCAGACGGGTGCAGTACCTATTAACTAACCTTGGTAGCACGGAAGGCTTGGTTGGCTTGGGCGGTTATCGATCCGGGATTCGAACTTGTGACCAACGGTGTGTGGTAGTGCACCACTTGCCATTACACCACCTCCGCCCTTACTGTGCTATTACTGACGATAGATTTTTACTTTTCGCTGCTTACATTTGGCCTAAACAGGTATTCAAATAATCCTGCTCTAGAATGGTAGGGCACATGGCACATGCTGGGCCAACCAATCGAAATCCCGTTGTTTTTCTTGGTTCCACTTCGTAAATAAGTTTTTCCTGAATCGCAGTAAACATGGTCTGAATGAGTTTCACAGTTGAGAGATGAGTTACTTCAAACTATTCTACTGAACGGATGTCTAGCCGTTGTGTTTCTTTCACAGCTGCGTTTGCGATGATGAATGTCCTTTGCGCAAGAATAATTACTTCTGTCCTGAAGGTTGACTAAATGAGGGTCTTTTTCAAAAACCAATAGAAAATTTTGTCACATTAGTACAACTAGCGTTGTATTCATGGCGACTGAATAGGTCGTTTGGGTAGACGATTTCATTTTCAGAGAAGATCGAAGTCTCTAGAGGTTTGAACCCCCGGTAGACTTACATAATTCCCTGCGATACGCCTTAAACGTGTACTCGAACTGGATCCAGTCCAAAACGGAGGAGAAGTTTCATTCACCTGAATCGATAACTGCGTAAACGAGGCCGTCGTTGGAGGAGTGCGATGACGGGAAAAAAACCCGAACGCGCGATGCTCGGGCGACTCGCCAAATGTGCAAAACGTATCGGCGCCGCCGCCACCGCCGCCACCAACACCAACGCCACCACTACCACTACCACCACTAGCATACCACGACAGCCACCCTCTCCCCTATCCATTGGTAACTGGTAACCATATATGAGTAAATATTGTATGAGGGCCTGAAAGGGGTGTATCAACGACGTAGGTTTTCCCACACTGATCAACGGAATGACAAAGTCATGGCACGGTTGGGTGAACGAGCCGTAGTCGTCTCACCCAAATTCGAAAACAAAACAATTAGCGGCGAATAATTCAATGCATCAACAGCCTGCTTGGCAAAACTATTGAGTTGAGCCCCAAGAATCAGCAGCGGTTAGTAGATAGGGGACGGAAATCTATTATGGAATCGACTGGGTAGCGGGGAAGAGAGAGAGGTGATAAACGATTCGTGACAAACGAGGAAGGACATACTTGGAAGAAACTTTGAAACCTCCGGTTCATTCGTTGTCCCTGGGGTACTGGGTAATAGACGTTCACTTAGAATCGTGCCTATCCTTGACAACGGAGATTGCCGATGTTCATATTCTCCAAGGTAGATCTTGTACCAAAATAGACCCTCTGTGGGAATGGAAAATTGGGTATCCAGAAGGGCATTGGGACTGGATCCCATCTCTGGACTATGCGTCTTCTGCCGCTGATCCATCATTCGATCCCTGCTCAATGAACGGATTCAAGTGCAATTATTTGTATTTTTCCAAAGTGTAACCTCATTGGAGACCTATAAACGAGCTATAAAAGTCGGGCGTTCAGCCAACAATTGATCGCAATTATTGGCTTTTCGCCAACTGCTACACGAACTTTCTTTCAGCTAAAACACACAGTGCTCAAGTTTTGGAGAAGTTTTCTGGTTTTTAGGATTATTTCGGTCTAGTGTCCTTTTACGGCTTGGAAGCGGTGCTGCAAAGGCATACGTTAACGCATTGTTCCTGAACGGAATTCAGGGAGTTAATAAAAACATGAAATCATTTAATAACAATGCATTTGAAAGAAGTCAGGAGCGTAATGAATTTTGTTTAGTGAAATGTAAAATGTAAATAAAAATAAATGACGTACGATGAATAAATAGCGTGACGGTAATAATAATACTGTAAAATATACTGTCTAGTTCTTTCCCTAAAATGAGTTAGCTCCCTTTTCCCCACTTTCTTGAAGCCGTACCGCCCCTCAATTTTACTAATCAAAAGTGCCTATGAGACCAGTAAAAGTAGGGGAGTAGCCTGTAGAGTCTTTCAAAGTCGTACTGCCCTGGACCCTTTATGAACCCCACAAGACCTCTTGGATTGTAGATGACTAGTGTCTCTACTATGAAGGTCTATCGAATGCATGGCGCGACATATCACATTTACCAACTTGTCATAACTTACTTTAACTTCTTTCAAAATATACTATTTGTTATTCATGTTGAAAACATATTGTTATAGCGGCCAACAGCGCAATTAACGACATCAGCTATACGACGTGCGTAGGATGTCTGGGACATTAAAATCGGGTGAAAACAAATGAGAAGCCGTGTACTTTCACTTGATCCGGCAAAGTTAAGCTGGAAATTGACAGGAAGAAAAAAGGCGGGAGGGTTCCAATTGTGACATAAGTTTGGACTCTTACAATCCAGTTGTTCCCTGGAAGATCGAGTAAAAAGAATACTTTTTAAACGGTGGAAGTACTTCCTTTGAATTATAGCTGTCTTCCAAAATTAAGAGGATTCAGCGAATTAAACTAAGACTGATCTTCAGGTTATCATGGGCGTTAACGAAGAGAAGGTGCAGAGACGCAAAGACTGATTTGAGAACGCAAAAATCCTTTAAACTCTGCTTCTCTGAACTCTGACCTGTCCGAACCAAATTGAGAATTGTTGAGTACAATGGAATGAAGCTTAATAGAGAACAAAGTAATAGATAAAACCAGATATTCTACTGAAGTTTACAAGTAGCCCTACTGTGGATTACTGTACGTTTGAAAATGCTTGATAGACCAGCGAGACGAGACGATGCGAAATTGTTTATATATGAATGATTATAGTAATAATTTACAGCTATGACTCAAGATCTTTTACGTAGATAATACGGATGAGCTACTTATGCAGGAGACTTCCGGCAATAGCATGAGGGGCCCATTAGGAGAGAGAAAAATACTTTTTTCAGTCTAGAATTTGTATTCTGCGCCAGTCACCATCGAGACCATGGTTTTTTTCCCACTTCGAATTTCTCCCCTCTTTCGCTCTTCCTAAACGCTGCAATGGGCAATCGGTGCACGGAAGCCTCCCGCCGTTCACCCTCCCGCTCTCCGTTTCGATTAAGCTAAAGTGTCTTCATTCAAGACAAGATGGAAAGCATATCTCTAGAGAAGATTTGCTAACGTCCGGTAAAACCCCATCCGGAATTGATTCAGTTCTATCGACATGACATACAACCACAAAGAACACCACATTACCTTCACCTGCCAGGACCATCCTAACCCTGACGATCAGGTTAGGGAGTTGGTCTGCAGCTACTGTAATTTACTGCAAAACTACAAGTAAATAGGTTCGAAATACTCACGGACAAGTCTTATCGTTTCTTGTTTACGATATACCTAGTAGAGCAGTAACTGAGTAAACAAGGAGTATTTGTTTATAGGAGCAAGTACTACAAAAACTTTCGCATTCCTCAGCAGGCCCTGAAGGCGATCTTCTAATTGTGGACCATTGAAAACCCGAAAAATGCTATAGTTCGATGGCGAAATAGCGGTTTCAAATTGTGGGTAACTGGGTCAGCCCATAGCAGAGACAGCAGGTCCAGATGTTGACGATATGCGCTAGTAGGACGAATTTGTGAGCTGGCGTACGGGGAAGAGGAGGAATGTGAGGAAAAGAGTGGGTGGAACGGAAAGGACCAACAACGGACAAGGTAAAGCGTCCGCTGCGGTTGTGGGTGGTGGTGGTTGAGGCGACGGCGCGTAATGTAGTTGTGAGTCACATAGCGAAGAGGGGCTAAACCAGCTCGGATCCGTCCGTCCGTCAGTGCGCGAACCATCAGCCAGCCGACAAACATGGCACCCCCTTTACACCCTCCCCCATCCATATCACCTTTACGAGGCACACGCGCAACAGAGGCCAACGGACACGAGGAGATTTGCGGCCTCCTAATGGGAGAAATCACGAGGTGTTGAGATGTGACGTACGAGATACATATGTGTGTGTGTGTGTGCTTGAAGGGCGAATGGATTGAAAAAGAATAAAAACATAGCCGAGGAGCAGACGTCGCCCGCTACCACATAACAACGACGCGCGGAATCGGGATAACGACGGTCGAGGAGATGCACAAAAAACTGAATAAGCGCCAGCTGACGTCGAAGTCGCTGAGCTGAAGCCCAATGTGGGTCTGTACAAGTACACCCCATTAAGTGTCCGTTGTTTGGAACTCACAAGAATGTTGACGGTCTCGGGCGGCAAGTTTAGGAACTGGCGCTTGGCCAAAACAAGTCGCACAGTCATCAGATGCGTAAAAACAACGTCAAGTGACAGATGGCATTTGTGAGTTGGGCTAGACGCGGAATCCAGAAACACGAGTAATGTTATCCAACTATGAATGGATGTCGTCGATTCATTGGGATGATTAGGAGGTAATGTTTATGTGAAGTGGATTTGTTGGCCGCCGATGGCGTGATAGTGATGATGACTGAGAGGGTGCCAGAGAGTCGGTAAAGACAGACAGGAGAGCAGACGAGGACGAGGCGAGGAGGGGGGATGGCGGCCGAGGAGGCGAGGAGGTGTTTGCAGCATGCCACAGAATCCGCCGCCAAAAATCCGAGGAGCGATTAAGGACCGGCGGCGGCAGCGGCAGCGAGAGAAAGGAGAGCGGCGGCGCTGCCCGACGAACGAAACGGGGCTGCCCGTCGTCGTCGTCGTCCGTCCGTCCGCAACCCAGTCGTCGTGTCGATGTCGATGGGCGAATTATAAATGAAATTGAGATGTCCGGCCTCGGCAACAGCATGCTTGCGCATCTCGTCGTCCTCGTCGTCGTCGTCGGCGGAGCTTTTGACGTAACGAATCCGGCGAAACGATGTACTTGATAATGACCCACACACTCAGAAGAACTACAAGCTTACGAGATTACCAGTAGAGAACTTGTTTACTCAGTTCTATTGCGAATATAGAATGAAGGAAAGTGATGTCCGATGATGACAGATTAATCCATCCATAATTGGCCTTCCGATAGGAATAAACCATGACCCTGAACTATGAAGTTTTCGCTAACTAACTTCAGTTTATACTTTAAAAGACTGCTAGTTTTTTATTGGATTTCACTCGACCCGAAGCAGTAACAGAAGAAGAGAAGGAGACAAAAATCAATAATCGATCGACGCTACTGGAAATGTAGTAACCAGGGTTGTTTTTACGGCAACGTGGCTCAGAGGGGATGCTACATGCACGTCATCAACTGATTTCGTCCTCTACCAAAGCTCCCAATTTGAATTCTACAAAAACCTTTCCCTGATATTATCGAGATTAAAGGGATTTACGTGGTCAGACATAGTTTTTTAAGAATCTACAACAGTCGATCAGGGACGGGAGAGGGCTAGAAGAGTGATTAAAATCCTTTTTTAAGGTCAGAATACGGTCAAAAAGGAGCTAAAAATAGGAAGTCAATGTGGATGTGGTTGGTTAGGTACGTCACTCCGAATGCACGGCGTAATCAACCATCAGGTCGGTAGAATCCGTAAAGACTGAGGCCGATCTTATCCAAATAAATGTGCTTTTTACCCAATGTTATCTGTCCTTACAATTTAATTACTTTATGTCCTTAACTTATTGGACCAAACATCTGAGAAGTTCGGTTTCCAAATACCATTCACTTTCTCAATCACCCGTAACTGAAGACAAGAAGGACAAAACTGTAAAATAAGCAGTATGTATTAAGTTGTAGACCAGAACGGCCAACAAACTTTTTCCTACATTTTTTTCTGTTTTTTTGCCAAATCGAGTAATATGATTTGCTGGAGGGACCAGAAGGCTAAAAAGGGCTATGAATATGAGTGCATTTGTTGGAACGCCTTCTAAAAGGGTAATTTCTATAATGAGCCATGCGTGACTTAGATTTAAATTCAGAGAGTAACCGTTAGCATTGATATAAAGGCTCACAATGAAGAGCTTTTCATTACAGAACTCACAGCTGGATATCAAAAGTGAAACGATTACAAGTTTCTTCGTTTCAGAGGGAGATTTGGTTTAGATGCCGAAAAATCGCTAAAACAGAAGTGCTGCCTTGAATTGTCTACGTTATTGGTCTTACTTAGGACCTTCCTCCATCTCCTCTCCTGAAATTTTCTTTTTCCGCCTACCAAAAAAAGAGAGGAATACACTTAAAAAACAATAATGAAAATAGGATAACCCTTTTTNTTTTTGAGTTTTATCCAAAGAATTTTCAAGAAAGCCTCAGGGCCTCCAAGCGCCCGACAAATTGTATGGTAAATGTTTGAAGAGCTATATTTTTTGAAAACAAGCAAAATAATATGTTTGAGGAGTGAAAATTACTATTGACTGAAATTATCTAGTATAGTATGAAATAAATTATTTAGTAAACTTCTAATAAGTTAAAATACAGAAAAACGAGTCCTATTCTGGCCCACATTGTTTGCGGACGAACGCTCCGTCCTCTCGTTATCGGTCAACTGGCACCTACTCGACTAACCGTAAAAAGGCGGAAACGTTGACTGGTACTCCCAGGTTTAGTAGTCAAATGGCCCATATGCAGTCTGAATAAAAGTCCAGGGACTGGTTAGTTCTAGGGCTGTAGGAAGCTATTCCATTTCGTATAGAAAGTTAAACTGACTATTACTTACTAGCTAACACAAGGGTAAACAAAAAAACAATTATTTCAAAAGAAATTTATCGAAGGGATTGACTAGTTCGAAGGATTGAAAAACGGAGTGACCGTATATCCGATGACGTCAACGTTGTGAAGGAAGATACAGACGACGAGACATGCACGAATATAAACATATCACCCCTGCGTCTCTCACCTCCTTCATGGTAATAAATAAATGTAAAATAAAACGAATGCACTCTACTACACGATCTTTACCAAGAGTTTTTAATGTAAATTATTTGGACTAAGAGGTAATTTTAAATAAAAATTATAAGTTATTTTTCAGTGTCCTTTCACAGATTGAAAAAAGTAAGGAGATTATAAAATGAATAGTTTAGAATGTCATCAAAAACTCGAGGCCATGATGTTCCAAAGATAAATACAAGTTTGTACTTTTCAACGTCGTTTGCTAAAAACCGTTTTTACTCAATGTAAGGTATGCTGTGGCAGAAAGTACTTGCTTGAAGTTTTTTCCCAGAGGAGAACAGTGCAGGGCTCACGTGAATGAAAAAAATGTACGAGTAAGAAAATGAAAGGGCAGAAGGGGCGATAGGTTTGTCTGCTCATTCCATGTAACTCGCCATTGTGCCATTGTGTTTCCCTTGTTTGCCTCAGACAGACCAGAAGAGTGAGTAAAAGACGGAATAGATGGGAAGTCTTTGGTCAGAATGGGAAGATTAGGTGGTACCTCCTACCTTCACTTTGTTAACTTATAAGCAAATAAATAAACAAATAAATAAATAAATAAACTACAAGTACCAAGTACTGAAACTATTAGAGCTACAGAAAATATCAGAAGGTTAAGGCCATATTGAACACAGCATTCTGAATGCAAAGGAGTGGCACATGAGAACATTTGGGAGGACAAGTTTGAGAGGTTCTTGAATTTCGGATTTTGGCCCTTCCCCCGCTCCCTAAGAGAGCCTATCAGACTGCAGTCCAAGATGCGCTCTGAAGTAGAACTTCCTTCTGCTTCCTCCTCCCTTCCTCTAGACTTTTTCGGGTCGGGCACTTTTTTTGAGCTCTCCTATTTTTTCTGGTAGGGGTGAAACGGGTTTTAGCACTTTGCATGGCATTTTGTCCCGGGTTAACAGAATAGATAAAAGGCCCATATTCGGATATAGTTAGAAGCGCCGTAGTTGATAAAGCCATCGCTATGAAGGAAACTAAGGGGAGCCGAGTTGTTTGCACAGCATTTGATAGTATTGAGTGAAAGTGGCGCCTGGAAAGCGAAAAAGGAACCAAAGGAGAAGCGTAAACATCTCAGGCTATTCGAACTGGGATGCTTTACTTACAATCGAGATGTACAAGTAAAGAGCACATGCAGCTCCTCCTATTCCCTCTCTTGCCTGAGCCCAACAAGAGATCAGGGGTTGACGGTACTCAGAACAAAAGTGATTGTCAGGAGACATACTCAGGAACCTTGGGAAACCATTCCCTCTCGGGTCCACCAATCACCTACCAATCTGGTTTTGTCCAATCCACTGACATATATATTATACAAGGTTAACTCTGGACGTCTGATCCGGACTGTTCTGGGCCTTCTGCAACTCAGTGTATCCCTGGATACTTCCTACAATCAGGAGGCCCCTGCGAGAGCCAAGGGCATGACGCATTCTGGATAGATTGAATAACATCAAGTTTGCACTTTTAGCTTCCAAAGTACATGGTCTTCCCACAATGCCATTCGATTGAAAGCCCCTTTGATTACTCGTTTACCATCCCTTCAAGGTATGTGTGCAACCAAAAGCTTGTCAGGACCAAATGGAAAATGAGTACGTGGGGCATACCAAAGTCAACAAACAGTATTCTGGTTTGTATCCCTGGCCTTCTCCACTATTTACTGACCACCAAGTCGTTGGGATTTGATGGCACCGGTAAGGAGTTAGTGGGGACAAGTAAAGTAAACCTGTTAACTGCCAGTAACTCGGTCGGTACTTTACTTTCTCTCGACTCCACCAATTCAAGGTAAAACGGATTGGACTTGCGGGTGAATTTATCGCCACAATCTGTCATCATGGGTGCGCCAACGGGATGTCGCTTTCGATTTAGCGGCGTGAGAGGTGAAGCGTGGGAAAACATACCAAAGTCAACAAACAGTATTCTGGTTTGTATCCCTGGCCTTCTCCACTATTTACTGACCACCAAGTCGTTGGGATTTGATGGCACCGGTAAGGAGTTAGTGGGGACAAGTAAAGTAAACCTGTTAACTGCCAGTAACTCGGTCGGTACTTTACTTTCTCTCGACTCCACCAATTCAAGGTAAAACGGATTGGACTTGCGGGTGAATTTATCGCCACAATCTGTCATCATGGGTGCGCCAACGGGATGTCGCTTTCGATTTAGCGGCGTGAGAGGTGAAGCGTGGGAAAACACAATGTGATATATAAAGCGCAACCTCAACTGGCTATTTCAACCCCCATCTGCAGAATAACCTGGCCTTGAAATCTTACCGAAAAATTAAATCCGATTCCGTAGAAAAACAATACTGCGAACCGTAGGTAAAGCAATAAACAACATAGATCGAGGTCATACTGTAAAATAAAATAAATTTTACTGGAGAAGGTTCATAGACAAATATCGAGAAAAGGAACACTTATGTCCTATCTGTTTGCATGAGGAGCTCCTTACTTTCCACGCTAAGTACTAACTCAGCAAATTTTTTAAAATGTTGCGTAGTACTTAACCTTCAAGAGACCACTTCTGTGTTTATTCAGTAAATGATTAAATCAATAACAATCATAATAAAGTAAAAATTCATATCAATAAACATGGTGAAGGGGCAGACCATGTGGCATACAATCATACACTCATGGTCCGTGATCGAATCCCGGATCGGTACATGCTCGGAGACACCCAACCCTTTCATTCCTACGGGATTGGATAATTGGTATCAGACTCATCTGGGAGAATAAAATAATCATCTGGAAACTAATCTGAACATGGGCTTGTCACCTCAAGCCATTGAACATGTCATGTATGCGTTCAAACACCACTACGATTCTGAATAACAGTCGAATGCGGGGCGTATCCTTGAAGTGCTTTGCTATCGCCATAAGGTTTTGTCCTTTTTTATTAATACCTTTGTAAGTATTTCAAGTTTGAGCCTTTGCAATAAAGATAAAATCTTCACCGAAGTTCCCCTTTTCTACAACATGCGCCCTACTCCCGGAAATTCCCAATAATTAGCTAAAACAATCTCTGTTCGTAGATCTAATACTATGCTTATACCGTAAACGCGGGGTGAAAAAAGCTTAGGCATTGAACCTCGCCAAAAGACGGCCCCATTTCACAATCCCCGCCCAATCTGTAAAACCACGCCCCATAATAAAACCCTGCAAACTATATTTGACAATGTAAT